AGGGGGAAGGGGGAAGGGGGAAGGGAAAGGAACAAAGAGCAAGGAAAGCAGGCAGGCAGGCAGGCAGAGGCAAAAGGTGGCAAGAAGGCAGGCAGGCAAAGGAGCAGGCAAGCTATGATTCCACTTACATGACATATCCAGAATAGGTAAATCCATTGAGACAGTAAATTAGTGATGGTTAGGGGTTAGAGAAGGAAAAACACACAATGACTAATGGGATTTCTTTGAGGAATAAAAAAAATATTCTGGAATTAGAAAATATAATGATTATATACTGTGTATATTTACCTAAAGCTACTAAATTATATAGAGTTAAAATGTCATTTATTTAATTTACTTTCACCTCAAATTTTTTTTAAGCACTAGAGATTTGAATCCTGAGCCTTTACATTAAGCTACATCCCCAACCATTTTTGAAATTTTTGAGTCGAGTATCACTAAGTCTCTAAATTGCCCAGGCTGGACTTGAAATTGTGATCTTCCTGCCTCAGTCTCAGAGTGCTCAGATTACAGGCATGTACCAGCATGCCTAGAAAATTTCACCTCAATTTTTCAAAGGGAGTTCTCAGGCTGAAATGGTGACACATGCCTATAATCCCAGCACTTGGAAGGCTAAAGCAGGAAGATCAAGAGTTTGAAGCCAACTTGGACTACACAGTGAATTCAAGCTCAGGCTGGACTATATAATGAAACCATGTCTCATATAACCAAAAAGAAAAGGGGTGGGAGTGTTACCAATTGGTTTTACTTTCTAGCAGAGGTAATCACAGACTTAAATAGAGCAGTCTTTACTTTATAATAAGCTAATTCAATTATTTCTGAGGAAATTATATCTTATTGTAAGACTAAAATCTTTTTTTTTTTTTTAATTTAGGACAGGGTGTACAGGGTTTATAAGAGTCTCACTGCATAGACTGGACTCTAGTGATCCTCCTGTTTACAGCCTCCCAAGTGCTGGGATTACAGGCTTGCACCACCACACCCAGTCTTAATCACTATCTCCAAGTGCCCCAGGGGCAGGGCCAGCACAGCAGGCCAGGTGATTGCACTCCCCAGCCCCTGCCTGTGTCTGCTTAAGCAGGCACTTTAATCTGCTGAGATATTTGGCCGGCCCTAAACTAAAATCTTACTTTAGAAATTTTAAAAGATTGTAAATAGGATTGCTAGTAATAAATTACACACCCAGATACAGCTGACAATTCCCTGTATGACTACAAATACAAAAACAAATTTTTTTAGGTAACACATAAAAATCATATGTATTAATTGGGATATGATGTAATGTTTGGATATATGTGTACATTGTCATGTTTAAATGAAGTTAAACGTAACTATATTTCCAGATACTTACAATCCTTTCTTCCAGTTTTTGGGGGTTTTTTTAATGTATTTAGTACAGGGTCTACAGGGTCTCACTACATAGATCAGACTCGCAGTGATCCTCCTGTTTTCAGCCTCCCAAGCACTGGGATTATAAGGGTGTACCACCACACACAGTCTCAATCCCAGCAGGGAAGGCCAGGGATCAAGCCCCAGCCCCTGCATCTGCCTAAACAGGCTTAATCCACAGAGCTATCTGGCCAGCCCTCTTCCAGCTTTTTGAAATGTATGATACAATGTTATCTCTAGTTACCATAGTGTGCAATGGGACATGAGAATTTATTGTTCCTAAAGGTAACTCAGTACCCATTGATCAACTTTTCCCCATTCTTTCTGACCCTCACAATCTGGGCTGTTACAAATGACAGAATTTCATTCTGTTTTATGGCTGAATAGTATTCCACTAGGTATATATACATTCTCTTTACCCATTCATCCACTGATGGACACTTAGGTTGTTTCCACTTCTGGGCTACAGTGAATAGCACTGCAATACATTAGTGCAGACAGCTCTTCAACATACTGATTTCCTTTGTATATACACTCAAGAGTGGAACTGAGCTTTTTTCCTCCCTGGCTGTCTGAGGATCTGTTGCCATCATGAATGACACAGTAACTATCCAAACCTGGAAGTTCATGACCAACTGACTTCTTTAAAGGAAACAAATGGTCACTGATGTCCTTCACTCTGGGAAAGCAACAGTACCTAAGACAAAAATTTGGGAAAAACTCGCCAAAATGTACAAGACCACACCAGATGTCATTTTTGTGTTTGGATTCAGAATCCATTTTGGTGGTGGCAAGATGACTGGCTTTGGCATGATTTATGATTCCCTGGATTATGCAAAGAAAAATGAGCCCAAACATAGACTTGCAAACAGAATAAAGTCAGGGACACCACAAAGGCTAATGCCAGTGCTGGCAAAAAAACGAAGGAGTAGAGATTCTGCAGTGCCTGTCTACAGTGACTGTGACTTTTTTCATAAGAGGATTTAATAAACTGTAAAACCTTCCAAAAGAGTGGAACTGATTGATTTTACAGTAACAACAGCTTTTAATTTCCTGAAGACCCTTCATACTATGTTCAATCATGGCTAGACAATTTACATTTCCATCAACAGTGGGTAAGAATTTCCTTTTCTCCACATTCTCTCAGGACTTTCTTTTACTTTTTTTTTTTAATCTAT